TTGACTCATCCGATGACAGACTGTCCAGTTTTCGACTGCCAGTCAATTCCACTTTCAACGGGCCCACAATGCCTGGCCAAAAGCAAAGCAGTCCCTTTTTGGACACCCACCAAACCCACGTAAAAAGACCATCTTCTTGGCCCCCATTTTGTTCAGAACAAAACAACGCTCAAAGTCTATTGCCACGACTTCTGCCAAGGCTAAATCCTTACTTACATGGGTTGTCCCTGCCAAAGCCCCACACGAAAAACCGCCAGACACAGCAATTGTCGTATTACATTTAAGGTTTGACAAGCTCGCAAAGGGTTTCCCCTCACCCACCTTCAAGGCCAGCCTCCCTTAGAACAAAAAATGCTCTATCGATCTTGGCATGCTCCAGCGCTGGAGAACAAAACAGAACAGCACCTTTGGTGGGGGGGAGGTTTTTTTTTTAAAAAAAATCAAAGGAAAGCATTGGAAGCCCAGTTGAGCTTGCCATACTTTCTGGTAGAATCATTCTCCCCTCCAGGCAAGAAACACCCTATGTCTCAATCAGGGTGCTTCTTGCCGAAAAGAGCTCCAATCACTTCACAAAGGACCTGGAAGGGGAACCCGGCTAAGAAGTGAACGCCCTTTCGTTTCGGGGCTTCTTGAAAGGGGTTGACTTGTGGACAGGTCTCCCCGAACGCGCTAGATGGGTCTGGTAAAATCAAGAAAGGGCCCATCCCCCTTGGTTTCCCTTGAGGTAACTTGCAAAATACGGGCCATTTGACACCTCGCGGCGCCCATTGCCCACAGACTTCGGCTCAAGACCCCGGAACCTGCTTGCGGAACTCGTCCTCCGCCTGCCGAGGCCGTCTTTTTTTGGGCGCGTGCTGTCCCATTTCCTTGCAGAGCTGCCATCGGTAGCTTAGCTTGGCTGAACTTATAGCTCCGAGCCTCCCTTCCAAGCACCGGCCAGTTGTTACAAAGCTCAACAAAACAGGAAGCAAAGGCACCAGGGCACCATGGCATTTGGCCCCGGCGATTCCATGCAAGCTCCAACCAGGGCTTTGGCACGCCTTGGCTCTTCGACCAACTCCGCAAACCGGTACCCGGGTTGCCCTGGCTTATTGCTTGGATTCCCCGAATATTCCCTTGCAAAGTCTTAGGGATGGAGCATAGGACCACTCATATCGCTTAGTGGCTTCGTGGCTAGAGCCAAGCTGAAACCAGTGGAAGCCATCTATGTTGAACCTATTTGTGCCAAGACATCTTTAGACCTACGGACACTTTTGAAAAGCAAAGCAACTCCTGAAGGTCCCTTAATGGCCTCCTATTTTTGGACCCCCATTTTGAATTTGCCTCACCAGATTCCTGAGTATACGGCACCACGTGGCCGACGGCAATGAAACGGGTATCCCTTTTGAGTAATCTCTTCCCCCTATTAATAAATACGCCCCCCCCCTATTATAAATAAATCCCCCCCATTTTTTTTTTATTGGGGTTTTTGGGGTTGGGTGACAAACGCAGCCAGCCAGGGAGTCAGGGACAGCCAGGGACAACAGAGTCAAGAACAACCTTTTTGGGAACCCACCAAAAGAACCCAACCTTTTGAGAAGCCAGCTTTTGGGAAAGCAACCTTTTGGGGAATTGAGGAACCCACCTGTTGAAAAGTGAGGCTGGAAGCTTGCCAAAAGTGCCCCCTAATACGGATTCCAAGACGTTAGTATTGGTTTAGTATTGGCGCAATGGAAAATCAATTGTGTGGAGTGGAAATCTGGTCCCGGGCCCCGGATTTGCATTTATTATTAATTGGGGTCATTCATTAATTGGGGGAGCGGATTAGTGAAACTGCTTTTGGGGAGTTGCACCAAATCCGTCGCAAGTCGGAATCAACATCAGCCGTCCACTCCTTTTGTTGACCCCAAACGCGGGCCCTAAGAGAAGTATGGTTCAGAGCCTATTTTTTCCAGGTTTGGTCCCCACCATGTCTTTCCTCACCAGGTGAGACACTCCTGTCTGCGCCCAAGAAACGCTTCACATTGGGCTACCCTGCGTTTGCCAAGAGCTTGCTCATGCCGTCCAGGTCCACACTACCTGGCACGCGAAAGTGTGAAACAGAGACGCCAACATGTTGAGCGCCACGGAACACCTGAGTTGAACATCCTTTCGAGGCTTGTGGGAAATACAGTGCTGACAACTCGTGAGTCCCCCATATCCGTGATCTTCTCCATCCAACCATCCACCTATCGAACCCTGTAGGTGGCTCCGACATCAACATGGTGCAGGTCCAAGTAAAGAATCAGGGCGGATATCCGCACTCATGTTTCTGGTCGGGGCATGGGACTCTCGGACTTTTCTTTGGGAACCTTCACCTACCTGAATCGGATTTGAGTTGAAGTGCCGGCTTCCCCCTTCGAATCGTTCGCGACCCGCGAGCCGAACGAGTCTCGCCTTTGCCGGATCCAGTCTCCAGAGCCTTGGAAGGTCCAAATCCCCCTTTGAGGAGCTAAGGGTGCAGTAACATCCTCAAGTTGTC